TCAAAAAAGCAAGCTGTAATCATTTTGCTGGTAGAAAGTCTTGCCTTTGTGTATTAAAAAAATGCCACATCTATGCAGCTCCACAAAGTGAAGTGCAATAAAACAGTGTGTACCTGCAAAAGAGATTTCAGAACTTCTTGACACTTCTGGGTATAAATCCATGAAAAATCTGGTTAAGTAAATAAACAAGATAAATCAAAGAATAGTCGTTTCACAGATGACAAAAATATAGGCTTGTTATGACCTTTACCATACTTATCTGAATGTCTGGCAATCTTTGAAGCCCTGAGATTTCCCATAAGCACTAACAAAGGAATGTCCTATTACACAAAAAGCCATTTCATCTCTTGCTATATATGCTAGTTTATTGCAAATTTGATTTCCTCCCTTTGGGAGAATTACCCTAAACAGCAGAGATGGAACTTCAGTGGGCATCAGGTTGGAGCACGAGTTAAAAGCCAAATTGCTGGGCCACAGCCCCGGAATTTCAGATTCAGTAGACTTCTTATTTTATTTAATGGTTTATAATATGTTATAAGAATTGTTTATTTTGATACTCAAATTGTCACTGCATGCTGGATTCTGTGTCCACTTGATATGTACCCATTATTCCTTGAATATGTTTTTGCTTTCTGGCATAAGATATTGAGAAGTCATCTTGGATTTTCCCTGCCTCAGAAGCCAGGTTCCTTTTCGTGGAAAATAATTTTTAGGAATCAAGATCTGGGCTTCGGGTGTGCTCATTGCTAATGGATTGTCACTGCTTCCTGACCATAGCAGTGACCAGAGCTAGCGAATGTATGTGTTTAAGTTTGTGATATATGTTATAAATGTGAAAATATATAAATTTTGTGTATTAACACACTTTTGCATTTATGTTTACTTCTATATTGTTTATATACAGGGTGGCAAAAGTAGGTTTACAGTTGTGTGAGTACATGAAACAGAGTTTACTCTTGTTTTATTATTTTTAATTATTGCATTATTTTCTATACAAACAACTGTAAACCTACTTTTGCCGCAACCTGTATCTAAATATATTTATTGACCACAATATATATATATGGATCTATAGATAACCATGAGTTTGTGTTTATCATACATCCAATTCCAACCCAATGCCACAGGGTTTTTTTTAAGGCACATGGAAATTATTTAGTTCAAGTATTAGAAATAAAAAGTAATATCACACCCCTTCCTTTGAAACACTTGTCTTTGTTGTAGCTCTAAGTCTTCCTCTTTTGAATAAGAAGTTTCTGACTGATTCATGCATTCATCTAATGGCCATCTTCCCTGGAGGATATGCCTGCTTCAGAGTTCATTGCATGGCTTTTCTTAATATTTCCAATTATATAGAAGACCATTCCACATGGTGTGGGCCCAGCTCCCACTCCGAGATGCACAGGACCCACACCCACAGATAGGTTTTCCCATGGGGAATCAGGCCTGCATTATACCTAGACTGCTATGAGACTTGCTTTTGCTAAAACTCCCACACCCTGAATTGAGGCAGCAAGTACTTACTGTAACTTCCTATAGTCTGTGCTAAACCTACCCAGTATGGAGTGTAACTTGTTCAACCACTTTTCCCTTTGTATTTGCAAATGTCCTTCTTCTGTGATGTGATTAGCGACATCCTCTCTTTTGTTTTCAGTAAAAGGTAACCATCTAAAGCAAACATGTGCATAGTAAGTGAGGACCATCATGTAATGTGCCCAGAAAAGCAATAAAAGCTTGTCAAGGCAAGGGTTGGAGCACTCTCCCCTTGAGAGGCTGAGGTGCTCCAAGGCTTTTCTTCTCTTGAGAGAGAAGCTGTGCTGTTCCCTTTTCCTCCACAGGACTCAGTAGTCCATGTGAATTTCTCTTGTCTCATCCACAATGTCACGGACCCCATGAGCCAGGGTCCGCATCATGATTGTTTTCAAATTCTTATGGAATCCAAGTTCTCTTCTATATTTGTAACCCTCTTATGCTAGAGTAAAAAAATGGCTCCAACTATTCTTGTATGTTTACCTGTTTGATTGATCATCTAGTATGTAACCAATCCCTGATCTTCACCCCTGACTCCCATCCACGTGTTGACACCCTTCTCTCTCTGCTTGCGGTTTGACTCCCTATTTTAGTTTGCCACCCCATGTGGATAACCTCCTCAGTAACCGTGGCTTTGACTTCCCACCCCTGTTGGGGGGGTCCACCCACAGGCCCCCCCTCCCACCACCTCCAGCTGCCACAGATGAGAATAAGTCTGCCAAGACATGATCTGCTTGGGGGGGAAAGGTGGCTGATCTCTCAAAGGAGAAGGGCCAGGGACCTGTTCCTCAATAGACTTTTACTGGGTTCATTTTGCACAGGAATACAGGTAAAAGCTCATTAATCATTGTTAGGCAGTAAGGATCAAATAATAGATAACATACAAAGAACTACAAGGACTTATTCTGAGTCGGGGTCTGTTAGCTAAAGGGCTACAAAACTTTGAGAAACAAACTCATTTCCTGCTCAGACCCTTACCATTTGATTGAGGGCATTCTTAGCAAAGTGGATTTCACAGGATTTTATATATTCTTTCTTCGGCCTGATCACCACCCTTTCCAGCACAGAGCTGCACCACCCTTTGTCATTGTTTCAGGCTTAAGTCAGGCAGGGGAAGTAAGGCAGCCAAGAGATTAGGAGACTTCTGGTGGACAGAATGAGGACTCAGGCTATGTCAAACCTGAGGGGTGAGGGTCCATCACCCCCTTTTGCTATAGCCCAAGTCCTTCCCTGGGGGCTCCCCATGATCATGCCTGTCTTAGGTCATCTCTCCCTTAAGGAATCTTACCCATCATTGGCTAACTGATCAAGCATTGGGGGCCAGGCAGGGTGAAGAAAAAAGAGCAGAAGCGGTGCTCCTGCCAGGGAGATAAGTTTTGTCTCCTTAGTGGCTTATGGTCCAAATGTCACTCACTCAGCCTTAGCCATGGGGGTGGTTACAGCTCCTGAAACCAGGCAGGGCAGTTCCCAACACAGCCCTCCAGCCCACTGATGCACCTGTCTGTCCTCCTGACCCCTCTGGGTCTCTCTGAAGGAATGTCCTCCTCTCCCTGCTCTGGCTTTGATTTCCCACATTGGGCTGTCTATTACCTGGACACCTTTCTTGCCCCTTCGTTCTGATGCCCCATGCCAGGCTGCTTGTCCCCATCACATGATGGGTGTCTTATTGACACTTCTTGGGCTCTCCTCTTCCCTTTGCCCTCCCCTTGTAGATTCCCTCCTTACCCCCATGGGCTCTAACATCTGCTCTGGGCTAGTGCATCTCTCTATCCCCACAGACACCTACCTTGTTCTTTCTTGACTAATAGCATTAGGACTGAAATGATCAGGAACAAAGGCCTCAGACAGGTTGTTTAAAATATGAAGAAACAGAAGTTCAGATGCTGATACAGCTTGTCCGTGGTGAAGGGCAAACTAGAGACAAGGCCAGTACAAATCCAGGTCTCTTTGAGTCTAAGCTGTGTGAGAGTGGGGACCTTGCTCCCTCATTCACTATTTTATCCTCAGCACCTAACACGGTCACAGTGAGTGAATAAGTGAACTATTCACACTTTTTCTTTGTTGTCGTCTTGACATACAAAGAAAAATTGTATAATTGTGTGTATAAAAATTAATGACTTTATATACTGTCTATAGCCAATAGAAATTCACACCTTTATATGTCAACATCTAAATTTCTGTGCCTAGGGATTTCTTCCATTCCATGAATTTCTAAAGTTCCTAGCTGGAAAGTTGACATACAGATGAAGATACAGAAGCACTAAGAAGCTATGGTGGTTGTAGTATCCCAGGATTCTAGTGCTTCCAGCAAGTGTGGAAGAGAATGTCTGGGCACTACCCAAAGTAACTCTTCTGTCACTAGACTATGACCTCTTCAAAGTATTTGGAACCCCACAAGAGAAAAACACCAGTGCCATTTGACAAACATGGGCCCCATGGGCAAGCAGTTCCTGCAGTCCTACCACTGAGCCAAGACCATTCTGCAGGTCGTGCAGGATGGGGTCTCCACAGCATGTTCCAGGAATGCTAGCTGTGAGAACGTATTTTCAAGAAGGGGATTCTGTGGTTAAATAATGCTAAGAACTTTACAAATCACAATGTTCATGAACATATTAAAGACTCTGAAAAAAGCCTTTAATTAAAGGCAGTGAAAGGAAACTGTTGCCTCTGTGTAACCTAGGGTCACCCAGATTACCTTAACTACAGAGCTCCATTTAGAGTAATACCTACCCAAGTCCCTTTTCTCCATTCACACAAAGGGTGAAAATATCTGTTATATGGGGTTATTGCACAGAAAATGGGGAAGTCAGATAAAGATATGTAAAGTGCAGAGCACAGTACTAGGTATTTTCTCTTACATATATTAGTTATTGAAAATGCTTCCTTTTGTTATTGAAGAAATAATAGATGTGGTTATTATAATTAAAAACATAATAAATGCATAAGGTGAAAACTTCAAATCACAAAAGGAATATAAAATTCCTGTGTCCAAATTTCCTCTTCTTATGAGGACACCAGTCATATTGGATTAGGGCCCACCATAATGACCTCATTTTGAACTGATTACCTCTGTAACAACCCTATTTCCAAATAAGATCACAGCGTGAGGCACTGGGGGTCAGGCCTTTAGACTATGAATACCTAGGGGGACAGGATTCAGCCCATAACAGACAGTTTGTAACTTGGGCTTCAGTGCGTCCCGTGCTGTGCCCATGACACCCACCTGCAGCTGTCCAAGTGTGGGCTCCTTATGAAGTGCAAGTACTGGACTCGGGTGTGGGCATCCCTCTGCAACCTCTTGTTGACAGCCTACTTCATTTCCCCACAAAGAAGTCTGGGTTCTGCTGGAGCCTGCTAACGAAAGCGCAGGGAGCTGAGCCGTGGGTCCCCGACAGGCCCACTGCCTCCTGAGGTCCTCTCTGGCTCCTTTTGCGTTGTTCCCTTCCCCACTTCCTTGCTTGTAAGGACACTTACCCTTTGACCCTGCTACCTATCTCCTCCCTTTCTTCTTTATTGCCCTCATTATCTTCCTTTTCCTGCACTCCAATCACTTTTTTCATGTTTCCTTCAGTAAAGGTGAGGAAACTGCCAGCTGCGTTTGCACCTTTCATTAGGTGATTGGAACTGCATCCTTCCTGATTATGCTAAAAATTTTTTGAAAATGAGGACATCTGCCTGATAGATGCCTGAAAGAAAAAGTTATTTTTATTTTTGGAGTAGTTTCTGATTAAATTTCCTGGAGTGAGAAGAGAAGCCAGCTGGTTTCACCCAGGAGTGGATCTTCGGTTTGGGTTCCCATGGCTTCCTGGCGAGTGTGTGACCTCAGAACACTGGTGGCCGTTGTGTGTGGGCTGCTGACCACCATCGTTTTGGGACTGGGCATCTGGAGGGCTGTGGTCCGGATCCAGAGAGGTAATGTTGTCCTACTATCTTTAACTTAGAGTGAGAGAAGGCACTGAGCCTCTGTCCCTGACACTTGCCACAGTACCGAAAAGTGCTGGCTCGGGGCTGAGGCTGCCCACCAAGGTGCTGTTCATGAAATACAGGACAAGGGTCCATTGCTGGCTGGTGTACTGCTGTACACACATGATGGCGTGTGTGTGAGTGGGCAAGGTGATGGGTGACATGGTTGAATCTGCCTCCTTAGGCTCTTTTAACCCCAGACTAAATAGAGAGCAATCATTAAGATCATTAATAACACGTTTGGATTTGTTTAGCTAAATCTAAGAAAGGAATAGTTATGGACAGACACATACACAAATCATCAAACCTATCTAGAGTGAAATTTCATTTCAAGAAGGACGTTTAAGAATATTTTCTCTAGGATTGTAAATAAAATAATGTGGTACGCACACAAAGTTCTCCCTTTTCAAGTATAGAAAACTACTCAAAAGTTAGGGTACATTAGAAAACACTTTTCCTGGTTTTCAACAGATATTTTTTAGTTACCTGTTCTGTGCTAGACACAGCCTGGCGGGGGGAGGGGGGGCGGGCAGTGCTGTGGGAAACGGCGGCTTGAAGGAGAGCCCCAGAAACTCGCAACAGACTCCTCGCACGACCCCGGACGGCTCCGTACGGCAGGATCTTTGACTCACCGGGTTGAAAGCTGGCTGTGCTCAGCATTCCCCTTTTGTGAAAGACTGCAAGTTTCTAAGGAAACAGAGTCAGTAAGGGTAAATACTGCCGGTCGGGGAGGACCGAAGAAAAGGCGGTCTGGCGTCTGGGAAGGCACCTGCGGAGGACGGAAGGTGGGGAACCCGGAGGAGCGAGGGCCGCGCTGTGAGGCTCGGTTGCGGGGACCGATGGGGTCGATGGGGTCGTGGGTGCTGGCGCGGCGGAGCGGGAGCGGGGGCGGGGGCGGGGGGGGGGCTGAGAGCAGCGCTGGTGTCCGCCCCGCCGCCCTCCGCCCCCCTCCCCCGCGCCCCGTGCCCCGCGCCCCGCCCCAGAGAACAAAGTTTCTAGAAGACTGTATTAGTCAGGCTGTAGAGAACTGGCATGAGAAAATTATCAAAAACAGTAAAATTTAAACTCGAGGAAAATGTATTTTTATGTGTTTGTTTAAGGCTTATAAAGTCGTTTAGCTGAAGTTAAAAAAAAGTGTGAGCTCTAGAGTTTGTCTGATTAGGGCTCCTAAATTTGTAAGACCTTATTTAACAGTAAACTTAAAAAAAAACAAAAAACTTTCCTCCTACCCTCCCTCCTTTTTTTCTTCCTTCCTTTATATGACATCTACTTTTTTTTGTTTTCTAAATCTCTTTTTTATTTTATTTTTAAAGAGATTTTTTAAAAAATTTTATTTTAATTGTTGTTCAAGTACAATTTTCAGTCTTTTACTCCCATCCCAACCCACCCACCCAGCCCTCCCCACCTCCATTCTGTTTCCACCCACCCCTAGTTTTTGTCCATGTGTCCTTTATACTTGTTCCTGTAAACTCTTCCCCTTTCCCCCTGAAATTCCCCTGTAATTCCCTCCCCTGAACACTGTCAGCCTGTTCTCTATTTCAGTGTCTTGGGTACAATGGAATTCTATGCAGCAGAAAGAAAAAAGGAGCTCCTACCCTTTGCAACAGCATGGATGGAACTGGAGAGCATTATGCTAAGTGAAATAAGCCAGGCAGCAAAAGACAAATACCGTATGATCTCACCTTTAACAGGAACCTAATCAACGAAACAAAAAAACAAGCAATATATGACATCTACTTTTAAAGGGAAATTTGTGGTGACTTATAAAGGATCCAGGTACAACAGAACTATTGAAAACAAGGACCAAAGTACACACATACCTTAAGAAAGAAGACAGGGTGGGGAATAGTGAGTATATGAAAGTCAAAGGCTAGGGGGAGTTGCTAAAAATAAATACAAAACGCATCCCTGAGCTTCCTGAGGGCTAAGGCCCCACACCATTATCACACCCTTCTCACCAAGCAGAGCAAGTGACAAATGTCCCATGCAGAAGCACACCAGTTCCTCAGAAAAGAAAAGCATTTCCTTGCTCTAAGCAGAATTTCAATTGGCTCTTTTTATAAAGGACACACCTCAGTTTTGGGGGTAAACCGGGTTAAATAGGAGGAGGTTACTACTATCACTTAAAGAGAAAGATTGAAAGACTGATACTGCTTGCTGTTATATTTTGCCTTGTGCATTTTATTCAGGTTTTGTTTTGGTAAAATTTGGGTTCATTTCACTCCACTCCTTTCCACTCATTCTACTCCATCTCATCTCATCCCATCTTACGTAATTATTGCATGGTGTCCTTTTGGTCCCTTTGTTTATTTGGATATAGAGATTAATTGTTTAAATTTATTTTTTAAGGAATGATGGGTATTTCATTATTTCACATTATAAAACTGACAATTTAAAAAATCCTTACTATGTACTAGGTACTATGCTAAAAGTTTCACAAACCTTATTTCATTTAATCCTGATAACCACTTTTTTTTTTTAAGAGAGAGGGGAAGGAAGAGAAAAAGAGAGGGACAGAATCATAGGTTGGCTGCCTTCCATATGCACCTCAACTGGGGACAGAACCTACAGCCCAGGCATATACCCAGGAATCAAACCCAGGACCTTATGATTTGCAGGATAACACCCAACCAACTGAGCCACCCGGGGCCTGACAACCATTTTTGAGGCATATATCATTATATCTGTGTTACAGATGGGGAAACAGAGACTCATAGCATGTTTTAAAGCTTACCTAGTTGGAAAGTGCTGTTTGTGGATTGGAATCTAGTCATTTTGACTCCAGTGTCCCTGCTCTTTATTCCTACACTATTCTGCCTAATTAAAAGCAAGATAATGGTAACCCAATCAATTGATTTGTCTTGTGAGGCAACTGTGGCTGAAAACCTAATTTACAAAGATATGCAGTCATCAGTAGAATCAGAGCATTTTGTTGTTTTGCTAGGCAAAGTTAGGCACTTTGGGATATCACATTGCCTTCAAGTCAACGAGATCTGCTTTATTAATGCTGTTTCTAGAGAGCAGATTAATATTCTTGCTTCAGTTTTAAGGTTTCTGAGTCGTTGACTGGTATTTGTAGATTTTTGACTGTGGAGTAACTGCCATAACTTTGCCACCTCTGCTATGTTGTGCAAAAGCCCTTCCTCCCATCTTTGCAATGTTATATGACTATCTGCCATTGGTCTTCTAGTCTAGCACAGCAAAAGGGGTTACATTCGGATTGCATTGCCTGCAATATGGTTCATTTCCTGTTCATCCTGGTGATTGCCTTTAATAGAAAGATTTCTCACATGCACACAGCCCCAATATCTGCTGACCATCAGATAAATCACAAATGTGCTCCTTTCTGTCTAATTATTCTGTGTGAGTTTACCTTTTTATTTTTTAAGTGAATCATTGGTTTAAATATCAAAGAAGTGCTTCAAGACATGTCCTCTAGAAAGCTGGTGATCTTCTGTATAGTATATGAAGGTTTTTATTTTGTTCCTATTACTTAATAAGACTGCTTAGAAAAATCTTGGTTCGAGGCTCTGGTCCTGATGCAGTTGACAGCATTTTATGTGTATTGATGAGACTTCTTTTAGGATTGCTAGTGTAGTCTTTGGCACTTTTATATGCTGCTGACGAAAACGTTGTAATATTAATGATCTATTTTCTTACCAAAACATCATAATATTTTTGAAATAATACATGTTTTAATACATATTTATATGCCTATAAATAATATAAATGTAAACACAGGTACAAATGTGTATTAATTCACAAAAATATTGCCAAATGTAGTACTTATTCTGTTTATGCTCCCAGGAACAGGATGTCCTATGCATTTGAAGTTTTGTTTGGTAGAAATGTTTTCATAACTCTTGGTGACTTTTGCAATTTTCAAATGGAGCTCAAGATTTGGAGTTCTTGTCTGATGATATCAGGTTGCCTGAAAACTTTCCCTCAGAGTTTCACATGCCTATCTCCTGCTTTGAAGGTTTAGGTTTTAGGTTAAATGTTACCTCCTAAAAGAGACCACTCCTATCCACCCAGTCTAAAGTTATCACCCCATTCATTCTCTTTCACATGTATTTTTCATATTTTTTATCACCGCATAATTTCCTAATTGTTTGTTTGCTATTTTCTGTCTCTCCGTTTCTAGAATGAAAGCTCTTAGAATAAGTCAGGAACCTGACTTATTAATCTGTATTCCCTGTACTAAAATAGTACTTCAAATATAGTTGTCAATACAGAGTTAATGAGTAAGTAAAAGAATTATGTAAAAAAAGAAAAGAAACTGAAATAAAAGTTGTCAAATAGCTGTATTCAAAAGTGAAATAACAGTTAACAATTTTTTGTGATTTGACTCAAAATATTAAAACACTGTAATTCTGGATTTGCATATATCCTTAACACAGACACTTTTAGTTTTCTTCCTCTGGTCCAAGCCATGCAAACATATTGACCATTTCTTCGACTTTGGCTTCATTAAGATCTCTCCAACTGTGTGTGGCCTCTTTTGTTTAACCTTATGCTCAATAATCTTGCAGGATGCTTTTGTGTTGGAGCAAATCTAAATTTTGACAGCCCTCCAACATCTTCACTTTGGGTTTCTTCCTAAAATAATATCCTACTTAGGATATTATTATCATATGTATCTTCAGAATGGACAGATATAAGGTGCTCCATCTCTGCTGGAGTTGTGCTTCCAGTAACACGAACCTTATAACACAGAAGCATGAGATAAAAGTAAAATTAAAACATCATTAGGCTTTATTGTCTGTCTTTCCATTGGCATTTTCCAACTTGATCTAGGCCTGAAGTAATCAGGTAGATATCTAGAACCATAACAGTAGGAGATATTTTCTTTACCTCTTACCAATGGGAGCGTGTCTTAACCTTGTATCATATTAGCAACAATGATTAGGACTCTTCTGGATTTTAGGACTTCTGCTCTCTGCCCTCAT